ACCCTCTAGTTTGGGTAGCGCTAAGGTACTTTACTTGGTTTTCATAAGGATCCAAGATCATCAGAGAGTGATAAACAACGTACTTTTTCAATGGTAATGCTGCACTTAAATTCGCTAGCGTTAAAGACGTATGATTGTTGTACTTCGTTAATTTGACGGAAGTTAATTTCTAAATATCTAGTCAATATCTTTTGAAACTAATTAACGTAAGTATATCATTTGGGGTACGTGTATATCATATGAGTGTATCGATATCTTCCAAAAGTGTCAAACCATGTTTTTCCATTTAAATTATAGTAGAAGCAGCAGTTTCCGTGAGAAGGCGGTAGTAACGTGTTCGTCTGAAAAACCTAAGAACCCATGTTTAGAGGAACGTGTTCGAAATCAGATGTAATCTCATCTCATTTCAATTAGGGAAACAGTTATCTGAAGAGATGCACTTCATTTCTATACATTAGATTAGAAGTCACAGGTTTAACGTAGTTAAATAAAAAAAAAAGTAAGAGTCAGCCAAAATTAGGTTTAGCCACTTCTGTATATAGCAGAAGCTCATGCTATATAAAGTAAATTTCAGATTAATCTTCAAGGACTTATGTTCAAGGTAGCGGTTTAATTTCAACTTTATCTATAAAAGTTATAGAATATTAGATTTGAAGTAAAACAGCATGGTGTTTGTGCTATATTCTAGACCCTCAATCCCAACTTACTAGATTATCAGCGCGTTTTTGTCTAAATCAGTTAGCCTAAATCCTGTATTCAATGACAACATTATGTCAACGTAAAATCCCTTCCAATCCCAAGATTATTTCTTCCCGTCGTATATGCAGCTAATTACGTTTTGCGGCTACCCTGCTTCCTGCCTACTTTAATACCAACATCCTGCAGACTTCACGCAAACTGAATCTGTAAGAAACCTTCGCTTGCAGCATAAGGCTTTCAACTGACGTCCATCTTTGCTTTAACGTTCAGTTCCTTTAACACTCGAGCCTGGGTCAAGAAGGTCGAGGCACCGTACAGCATTTATCAGCGAGTATGGCCACAGCCAGAATGTCTGCGTCGGAAAAATCTGATCTATAGATTTCTTTTGCGTTAAATTCGTTGCAATGAACCAGTCACCTATTGGCCACTGCAGGCAACGTCTTACGGTCAGGCTTACATGAGTGCACATACTCGCTCCAACGAATCCGAAGAATTGAAAAGACTCCAACGAGCCTCTCTATGGCGCCTGTTCAACGGGCCTACACAGAAACCAGTAGAAGCCGGTGCACAAAAGCTGATGATTTAGACCTTTTCGCTGTGTTCGTCTCGTTAACAGTAGATCAGGGACGAATAAAGCAGTAATCACACGCCATCGGTCTACATAACGTTCTATATTGTTAGCTATCTATCAGTGAGGCCCACTACCAGGCTCGTAGCTGCGACTGCTGTTGCTGTTGCCGGTGTTTCTTAGAACTCGCTTCATAAATCAAGAGCGCGATTCCTGACGACTTTCCCGGGTTGGGTCAACGACGGCCTGTTCCAGGGGATATTGCTTTTTGGTGGATTGCTACCGTATTTCACGAACAGAAGCGCTCGAAAGAACAGCGAAGGCTGCCCCGACTACGAACGAGTGCTAACTATAAAAGCGTTAAGAACGTTACCCGCGCGTGTAGTTGCTCTTGATATTTAAAAGCAATGGGTCTTATCAAGGATTTTCTTGATTCTGATGTTCCACATTCAGGTGGGAGTCACTTTTTCTAATACCGTTCTCTGCTGAGTTTCCTGTGAGTCTGTCCTGAGTTAGGGTGACCGCAATAGGATGGGAGCGGAGCAAACATCGACCAGTGCATCCAAAGGCCAACATGAGCCAACATCGATCTCCTAACGGCTCCTCTATTCACTCTATAGCTCTCATTGTTGCTTTTAATCTTCTCATCCCAAACGGTGCCTCTTAAAAAGGCTCTTTTTCGAAGCCCCTAATATTTCCACCTTTAGTCACCGTATTGTCAAGGCCATTTGTACTCACCGAAATCCTTGTGAACTATTGTCGCTCCTTAGTTGCCCCAGTTCTCATGTATTACTTTGCTAATTTTCTCTGCATCCTTTGCTTCGGTTCGTTGATTTGACCATCGACTATTTTCCTGCTGTTACTGCACATACCCTTAGACGAGATGTCAAAAACATGCCCTAAATTATTATTATTATTAATAGATGAAGTAGCGGCGGATGCTCAAGAATTAGAACTGTCGTTGCTATTGCTATGGCTATTGTGACCACGGGGTCCTGCGGGCATACGTGGCTTAATACTGTCCTTTGTGTTCGAATATATATATATAACGTTTATATATGAACTTCGATTGTCGCTATATCATACGGAAAACTTTTCATTTAAGAACAACGAAGTGACCAACTTTTGATAGGTTCATATGAAGATTTCCCTCAGAGGATAATGTCTACGGAAATCGATGTAGGTTGGTATCATCCAGTATTATTTTCCTATCTTGAGTAGAACGGCCTTTAAGGAAGGAGCCAGAAATCCCGCTTCTCTACAACGAGAATACTCGGCTCACTGAAAAAAACTTCCAAGCGTCAAAATTGATGTTTAGAAAACTCTTCTGCTCATCATACAACAGGGAAATTGCCATAGTCTTTAAATGCGAGGGTTACTAAGGAACCATAACCTGCTCAGTTTAGCATTAAACTATATTATTAGTATTATCTACTCTACCTGAAATTTGTGTTCGTTTTTGCCATTTTTCCTTTACAATAATGGATAGTCGAATTCTCCGCATTCAATTATTTATGTCCCTTATAACTTCACCTATATCCCATATTACCTTACTCAGGAGATCCAAATACGGCCGACGCAGATTTCTCGAAGTGCTGCAATGCTAACATTCACCCACGCGTTGTCAACCACTATTAGACCAGAGGCTAAAGCAGCCCTTGAAGAACTTATTGGGTTAACTTTTCTTGTTACTTTTGTCGATGACGTTCGCTAAACTTCCTGTTGTATCGGCTCGATGAGTCGGTCTTTAACAAGTCATAATAATACTCGAACGCTAGAAGCAAATCCGAAAAAAATGATCCGAATTTAACCAAGTACAGAGCGGAACTGCACAGATATAGAGACACCTTAAGGAGTTGCAAATCACCTCCTGATTCTAACTTAACCGATAACTTAACCGACCGATTCTATGATGCCGCACTCAAGTCTTATATCATATGAAAATGCTTGTCTGATCAATGAGAGAACAGAAAACGTAATTCTCTTTACACTTATTCTTACCAAAACGACCCTTTTTAACCTACGAGTGGCTCAACTGTCCACGGCATATCGCTATGGGATGATTTCCCAACTTTGACGTTTATTATGTACCCTGTATTAGCTCGAAAAGTCGAATCCTAAAAATTCCTAAGGGACTAACAGAAAAGGAAAAAAGATTATTTCCTCATTTAAAATGAGGACAGGCAAGAAGACAAGAGTAATCATTTACTCGAACACGTCCAGAGAGACAACACTATTTATATAATTGTTTAATAAAATATCCGCTTTATATTCTCTCCGATAAGATGCATCAACATCTATCTACCTTCCATAGACTTAAAACTGTCTTCCAATGATCGCATTCACGAACGGATACAGCAGTTGGACCTATATATTGCATGTGCAGCCCGTTTCGCCAGGTCATCCTCTTATTTCCTCGATCCCCGGCACTTATCTCTGCTGTCAAACGAGTCTTCGCTTGTATAGAGTCTTTTGCGGATATTCAATCATAGGAAAGAGGCTTCTTAGCACATGCCTCTATTCGTTGCTTTGAGGCAGTTGTGCTTCAACTTGTACCTTCATATTATTTCTTGCTTTTTTTGGTTGCCATCTCGTAACCACGTCCTCTGACGTCATAGTTCAACCTTTGCCGTTGGTCCTCTTGGCACTTTGAGGGTTGCCTAGCTCCCCTTAGCTATTCTGACCGTTCCGAGAAGTAAAGCGCATGTCCGGTGAGAGTTACGTGACAATGACTGCTTCCGGGCGACTGCAACTTGCCTCAAGGCCGTCGGGCAAAGCAAGGTGACTCAAGCAATAAAGACCCACGCGATACAAGATTCGAGCAATAGAAACAGAACCACCATCACCAGCACAATTATCATTAACGGTTGCGATATTGCTACGACCATTATTTTTTCGTCTTCAGCAGTTCGAAATACAGCTACGACTGACAGATGCCGCCACACCAAAACTGCCCCCACGACAGCGAGCGGTCGAGGCCGCTAGGGTCGTTACGTTTAACACAGCAGCATTGCTGTCTTTCTCAGTTGCATAAATACTTCCCTGTTGCGTGGCTGAAGCTTTATAGTGGTTTCTTTTTCCCATGTACTTTTTCAGTACCCCTCTCACTATAATTTCTCTCTTACCCTCGCCTTCTCTCTCCCGTTAGTTCCTTCAGCAGGCAACTCTCACCTGCTGCGGCTGCCGCGCGCTTGTTACCGTAGGTCAAGCGACGACCCCTTGCGTATGCTAGCCCTACCGCGTCTGCTAGTAATACGACGTGACGAATGCCCTCTTCTACGTTGACATAGACGGCTTGATCGGTAAATTCTCACGCCACATCTACAGGGCTGTTCAGCCCGGCAAATGACACGACCCAACCACTCGCTGTAGATACAGACATAAGTAGACAGCATTCGCATCCCCTTTACGGAGTGTTGATAGAAAGTTTCCGTCAGTCGTGTACATCCCACATGGACAAAATAGCAGGGATTCAAACAAGAGAAGAGTTAGGTCATCATTACCATCAAATTCTATCATCACTGACTGGGGCCGTACTTACATGGCAGTTTTTTCTACTGCAGGCGCCGCCGTAGGCTCTGTTACCATCACCATCACAGATGGTCCTTTCCACTACTACGTGTCCTCTCCACTCGCTGTTTGTTGGCTGTTGTTGTGTGCAGCTTGGAGAGCCGGTTAGAAGGGATCGTCTTGTTCGGTGGCTCGCCCTAGCTAGCGAGCAATCGTGGTTAAAAACAGCATAGTCTGTTCTTGCTGGATGACCGGTCGTAGCTAAAGCTGTTGTTGGCGGTCTGGCAGTTGTCAATGCTTGGAGCAGCAAAAGCTAGTGGACAGCGGGAGCGCGCGCATCGGACTAACGCTGTTTGCTCCAAAACAACCTGAGGGACCGTCAGTTAATCGGATAGAACGGAGCGCGACACGACAAGACGCGCCGCGTCGAGCTGATGTGATAATCAAGCGAACATAGACCAACAGACAAATACACACAGACATCAGGAGAAACAACGATGAAGAATGGTGGGGTTAAACGGCGTTCAATTATCAGTGATGTGATGCGTTCGTCGATACATACGATCGATTCGATGCGTGCGTCCAAACAAAATAACAAACAACAGCTACGGTTATAGTTAACACTACTCTTGTTGATGTTGGTATCTTCAACGGGTAGCAGTAGATCCTACTACAGCGACTGTAATAGCCCTTTATAGAAGAAGACCGGCAACGATATCAAACAGAAAACCCCTCGAGGACATCTGTTGTTCCGCAAGGCGACTGATACCGTTGGCGCTGCTGCGAGTATCAGAGCAACTTTTGCGACGACAACAACAATAACAACAGAAACTGTCTAACAACGCGAATAATAACAACAACTACAATAATAACAAAAACAAACATCCCTGCCTCGACTTCGACTCGCGCAGAGACGAGTTAGCTGTTGCTGGAAGAACGATGGGGGGCAACGAGGCCGTAATAGCAGCAATGAAAATAGGTTAAACCAATAGAAGACGACTGGCTGCAATATTGTCTGGCATAGCAGAATCATAAGTGTATAGCTGTACGTGTGATCCCTAGCTGACGACCTTGAACGACGCTTATCGAACCTCGGAATTGAGTAACAGGTTTGAAGCTGTGATGTTTATGCTCTCGATGAACCTCGGAACACTCGACGCCGAACAGTTTTTGTCTATCGATTGTTCTAGTACCGACTGTAATTATTGTGTTAGTCGCAACTCGTTTGTCTCGTCCGTTCAGTGAGGCCTAGTTATCAGTGAGTCTACTGGCGTGCACCGCAATACTGCTATAGCTTTTATCAAATCAGCTAAAACTTCAAGTACGAATGATATCGACCACTGCTGTCGGATCTTTTTCTGTCTGGTGATAATTCCCAACTACTAACGCTGTTGCCTCTGCTAAACGTATAGACAAAGATCTTGTTCTTTATTACTATTAATCTATATACTACTGTTATCTCTGCGAGTGATGCTACAGCTGCTCATAGGGCGACACTTGATGCGGCAGTGTTCACTCGGCCTCATACCGGTCGCTGTGCTGGGCCGGAAAAGTTGTGCTCAAAGTGCTCCGAAGTTGAAGTGATTAGCGACTAAGGTAGAGACCACGCCAGCTCCAAGGAAGTCTAGTCGACGAACATAAGAAATAGCGGGTACTCACATTCTAAAAAGAAAGATCCGAAGATAATGAGGCTATTATTTTTTTACTTAGCGGATACTAGCAGAACCTATCAGTGAAAGCTGACGACAAGATACGGAGTGCAGAATATACGATGGCTTCATGAGTGGGGTAGTAAAGTAGAAATAAAGAGAAAGAAGGTACGGACATAATTCCAGTAGGTAGTTCCTACTTTAATAAGTAGGGCCAATGATGGTATCAAGACGAGAAAGGCAACCATCTGGTCATTCTCGCAGTCAATCAAGCGGGAGCATTTTAGAAACGAAAAATAAACGTGAGGCCAGAGCCGAATCGAGTACCAGACAAGACTTAAGAGGTAAACAGTGAAAAGTTAGAACAAGCATTGTCACTGCGTACGCGAATAAAAAAATAAGGCTGAAAGTTCACTGTCTGACTAGGCCGTTTTACAGACCCGCGCACGCAGCTAACGTCAGTCGGTCGATACAGAACACGGACAAGCTATACCTGCTGCAAGTGCAGCTTTCCGACGACGTTACGGAACCGCGCAAGCCGGTGTGCAGTTAAGTATGTATCGTCTTGTCGACGGTGCTAGCATCATAGAAATCGATGAGACAGCTGCTCGTTGAGAAGTGATACGTTTCCAACAGCATTGCCTGTGCTCATTGTCACGTATTGGGGCCTATTTTGTATTTGGGTCTGTGTTCCGTAACCTTCGACGAGCAGTGTGTGACTAATGAGAGTAATAAGGGGTATCACGCTACAACCTTTATAGAAGCAAGAGCAGCGTGAAGAAAAAACTGCAGGAACTAGGACACTGTCTTGATCGGACCAGCCTCAGAAGAGTTGTCCAAGCAAAAGCGTGCCTGTGCGCTGTGCACGCTGCGCTTGACATACAATAATAACAAAAAACGAACCAGCAATAAGTTAACGGGTCAACAGAACAACGAGCAACTGACATCAACAAGAAAAGAAGCACATCGCTATAACGCACGTACATGAATGTGTACGTATAGATACAAACAACAGTGGTACTATATTTCGACGCATTTCGTCGCTTCTGCACTGTCCTGTGGCTTGTTTCTGTATGCATGTGTGACAGGTGTTCCTCAAAGTTGTCTAGACTGGTTTGCGTCTCCTGGCAAACTGTGCCTCTAAAGACCCAAGCGTTTCATCGGTAGTGCCGTTTCGCCCGTTCAACCACCGACATCGAAGCTGGGTCGGATTAAACTACACCGATAAGAAAGCGTTGAGTGTATAGTGAACATTTGATCAGCTGTTGCTGGGTCAACTATTTCTGCTATTGCTGTGGACATAGCCGCGAAGGAAAACTGAACGAAGGTGCGATCGAAAGCTGGGAATGGAAAAGTGTTAGAAACAAGCTTCTAAAAAAACAGTGTTCTGCAAGCCACAAAGAATCGACTCGATCCAATGGATTCAGCTCGACCAACAACGATCTATTAAGTACGGAACGTCATCGGGCAAAAACCTTGAATGCAAGGTTTGTCTCTCGTTGGCGTAATTCGGCCTACTTCTGTCCTATTGAACTGGTTTGCGTCAACAAGCTATTTCATAGCTGATTAACGTGGAAACAACTTGTGTTAAGTTAACAGGCGCTCACACGCAGCTCTTTCTAAGTAGAGGCTGGCCTTGGTGAAACAAAAAAGGGCGTTGTGCCGCCGCCGACATCGCTGTCGTTGTTCGAGTGAGTAATCTCACTCGACCATGCACGGTCTTCTATGGTAAAAGGCCCAACGAGTGCAGTCCGTTCGGTTACTGCTTGGCTGGTAACGCAAGATTTTAGACGAAGTGTCTGAGAATCTGATCATCAAACCGATGTACATAATCGGCTTCGAGTCACAATGGACAACTTAGAACGGTAAAGACCGCTCGTTCACGGAGGGGTCGCAGATTACAGAATTTTCAGGACACACAGGTTGAACCGTAAACAAGTGAAAAGGCAAAGGACTGACAAAGACATGAGAAGGACGCACAACAACCCGCCCTCAAGAGGAGACCGTTCCAGACCCTATTCTAAAATAGAGTCGACTGTCGGGTATCTGCATAATACTTTTGGTTGTTACAAGGATTGAGTAACGGTACACGCTCGATCACCGGCTATCGCTTCGGTCATCTGAGCACGACCATTCCTCCAAACCCGGCATGCTGGCAAAGGTCCGCGAGAGATTCCCACAACCTTCGAAGTTTCGTGAATACCCAAAGAAAAAGCTTTACTTCTTCAATAAAGCGGTGTTCGCTTCATGCCCTAAGCACGTACAACGACGCTAAGTCTCGAATAGTATTCGTTCTGGATGCATGCTCCATCTTCGTGTTGGGCCGGTGTGGCGGTTCTTATAGTGGCGACGACAGGCAAGTAAACAAGCAGGAAATGGAGAGAATTTGCTACCGTCGCAGTAGTTGAATTTTTTATGTTAGCGAACTCGTTTTGGTTCAGTACCAGGATTCGCAGTTCGATTTATCGTTACTGCTGGTGCCGCTACAAGTGCTTGTACAGTCACCTGTAGATGTAACAGCATCCCCCGCAGCCAACAGGGTACTGACCACCTTCCAGTATGCACAGCCGTTTGTTGTTTTTGTGATAGAAGTAGATCATACCGGTACTAGGCGCCTCAATGCGCCATTGCCGGCCAAGCATCACCCCTACCTATATACTATTGTATAACAAACTGAGTTTAGTTAACGGCTTCTGCAGCTAATCGAGCTGCCGTCAACGCCGGAACTGTCGCGGTGCGTTATTATTTGCTATGGATAAACGAGGCTACTGTGATTATTGCGATCGAAAAGGGGCGCATGCCTTCGCCTGTAGGGGTCCACCGTTGGCTACTTAGAAAAAAGAACAGGTAGTCGTCGTGCTCCATATAGTGTACATGTGAGGAGGCTTTTAAAGCCCGCAACTGTGTCGTAAAGAGTATCGTCGCCGATTCGTAACTTATAGTATTCAAGTGAAATTCGTATACTGATGTCTGTAATTGTCATTGTATCAAATAGAGGCAGTCTGCTGTACAGTGGGCTAGTATTACCTCCAGATGCATGCACAGCAAAAACAATTGGCTATTGAAGAGGATTAGTAGTAGGTGGAACGGCGAGGCGTGACGCACCCACTTGGAGTACCGTTGTTGCTCTTTAGAGCTGACATTGTCAGCGTGAACTGACCTCAAGTCGGTGGGGGGTGTGCGTGTGTGTGCATATGCAGTGCAGTACTATGTGGAGGTCACTTATCCGCGCGAGAATATCCCATTAGACTGTACAGACCCATATATACCCGCAGATAGTATATATATATATATATATACACAAGAAACAGGCAGCAGTAACGAGATAGATAATCGCCGGAACAACGTGGTAAGTACGTGATGAGAAAGAGCATTCTTAAGTTGAACATTGTTTTTTCGAATTGTTTGTTTAATTAAGTTGAATATACTTACATTTAAGGCGGAAGTATGTGCGAGTTACAGCTTCCTCAGTGATCGAAAAAGCTGAAGATGAAAAATGCCGCTCAAGCAAACTAATCACTAGCCTTGCAATAGAGAACTGTTGCCACTAAACGGTAGTTCTGCATCCAGCCCGCTATTACAAGACTTTGTGTCTACTAATTATTAAGAAAGTTAAGAAAGAAATACTATACCAATAATAAGAAAGAAATTACACTGGTCTAAGGACCTTTGCTAAATTGCCATGCAGCATTAAATGTTCGGGGTAGTCAGAGTTAAATCATCAGACGTACGTACCACTGTGATTTGAAGTAACAAGGAAATGATTGACTGTAAACGGCTTTGCTATTATTATCATCGTCATTTAGTCATCGTACTGTTGCCATACCATCAAATATCTATTGCGTGTTCTTATAGCCGGTGAAGCGCTTACCGCATTGTCACGGTAAACGGACAGTAGATTCACAGCTGTGTACGTATCGTTGAAGATGCGCGACCGACTTTGCTGAAGCCTACCATTGAAATCGATCTTGCCGATATCAAAGTAGTGATGATTCGTCAGTCGATAGGCGTCCGTCACCTTCTCCAGTTGCAGATAACTCTGTCCGTCGCGCACCGGCTCGTGCAGTCGTTGTATATCTGCGTTGTTTTTAGCGTCTCTGCTTGATACACGTATCTTCTAATGAATGCGAGATTTTTAGTTCTGTGATGGCAAGCACTGCCAACTTCCGTACGCTGTCGCACAGCGAACGCTTTGTTCTGTTCTTTCGTCCGTCTCCGGGTGGCCTTTCGGTAGCGATGCCCCCGTTGACGAAACCGCTGAACACCCCGCACGAGTAATTAGCTCATGATATCTCCGTAATAACCTTAGTTCGTGCCACTGATATATCAATAACAACGCTGTGCGTCTTTGGACAAACTTGTTGCTTTGGAAGCAGCTCTTCGCTGATGATCGTTTTCGTCGTCGAAGTCGACGCTACTCTTCGTTTTTACCGTCACCGCCGTCATCGGCCTTATCATCTTCGCTTCAAAATGGTCTCCTTTCTTTTCCTCTGAAGTCTTTACGTGCGGCCGAACTAGCGATTGTTGTTCCATTCTTTGACGCAAATATTTGCTGCGTATCCCTCCACCGCAACCCGAACGCACACCTGTTAAATACCGAGAGCAAACCCCCAGGTATACCAATCACCAAATTTTCTTTATTCGGCTCGTTATTAGCAGTCGTGCTTACCGTACGTGACACAGTGTCATCCATTCACCTTTCACCGTCTTCGGTGCTCGTTATATACGCAAAGACTACTGATAGATATTATTGTCGCTCAGTTATCCGGAACCTGTTACAGGAAGCATTTCTGCCTCGACCGCTCCTTGCACTCCTGCCGCTTATAGGCGGTATATTTTGCCTTCGCCACAGACGACATAGAACGCCAGATGTTACGTCTCAGACGACATTTTCTCAGTTAACTGGCTCTAGCATCATTATTGGCCTCGCTAGTTTGATAATATTCTCCAGAGTAGCAACGGATAGGTAGGTGGTGCCACCTTTCACCGGAGCAGCATCAACAGCAAAATCATTGGGAACACAGTCATCATCATAATTATCGTCCATGTTGATGACAGCGGTACGAACTGTGGCGGTTCCTACCTAAAAAGAGCCAACAGGTAATGGGCAATTGGCGCTGAGCTACCTCTGTGGGTAATAACAGTAACGGTCGAATCCGCCGGTAGCAGTAGCGCCGGCGGTGGCGGTGGCGGTGGCGGCAGCAAGACGCCCAACTCATTTGACGGATAGGGCAGGGGCCGCCGTTCGAGCTGCTGCTCTAGTGTGTACACCGCATTGTGCAATGATGCTAGATTTCCTATTTGATGCTGACTCCATTACTGCGTCTGGTAAAACTCTAAAGACAACGATTCCCCGCAGTGGCAAGTGGTATTCATATAAGGACGCGTAAATGGTCGTCATCGACGAGTCAGCCACGTTGTGTACATCGTACAAACAGGCGTGCGTACACTTAGACACATAACCCGTGTACTATGCTCTGCGCGGAAATATACGTTTTGTGTATCTGTGCTTTTCTATGTTTGTTTTTCAGAAATGGCATTCTTATTTCGTTTGCAGCTGTGTCAACAGATGCCGTTGAGTCTGATAGATGACTGATTGTTGATTGGCAGAGACGGCGACGCTAGCGGTCGAGGAAATGGATTTAAGGAGAGTTCCTCTCGACGGACGTTTGCTCCGAAGCAAGGGGCACATGCAACGCTGGCGATAAGCAGCGACAAGCTCCGTAGGCGGCGCACTAATAACGAGGGAGATCGGTTTCTCTGCGACGGGAAGCAAATGATTCGTTCGACTTACAGTTGGTTCTGACGTTAAACTTCTGAAAGGGTGCAGCCCGATAAGCCATCCGGGTCGGATTAAGTGCCGTATCACGCAATATTACAAGTCACAACAGTTCACCTATCTGAGCTCGTCCTCGACCGAAGCAGTCGAACCTGTCAGACAAACGGGGGTTTAATGGCTCGCAACAGAATCGGTAGCAATCGGATCATTGCCGACCAATTGGTTAGGAAGTATAGATGTGTGAATGACTCACACACGTTCGGAAAAATCAGGAAAGAGAGAGAGGATCTCGCTTTCTATTTCTTCAAGAAACAAAAACTGGGCAATTTATGAGAGGATTGTTTGCAAAAGGATAAAGGCCATATGTTCACATTGCGTGATTGTTTAATGGACGCTTGATACGACAATGTTCTATATAATCGTTAGAAATCAAAGGGCGACGATCGACTGTAGCTGCATAGCACATAGTCAACAGATGTTGTTTTATGAGATGAATAGATGATATTTGTCTATTACCCTGTGTTTTGCCGCGCTTTCCAGGTCGTCTTCTACTCACAAATCTTTCCTGGTTCGTATTTTAGGCAAAGTGATCTTTCAGGTAAACAGCTACACCTAAAAAAAGACAGAAAGATGATCCCCATTATGAAAAACTAGCGATGTTTGAAGCAGCCATTATTTGTCAATGTCACCGGCACCCTGTGTCAGTCTGTCGAAATATTGAAGCGTCAGTGCTGACGGAGTCGACGCGTTGAGCAACGGTAGCAGATTTGCCGAGGAGATCGCTGACGATGATCGTTAAGCCGTGATCAAAAATGTTCCATCCGTTGGATTGGTCCCATGTGTGACGATAGCGAGTCATGTCACTAAATGAACGGACGCACAACTGATCAAAACAGGATGACAACAGTCTAAAACAGTCAACCGGATCACTGGCTGCTATGATTAGTAAAATACATTATGCAATATAGATCACGTTGGTGTCAGTGGGTTCTCTATGTAGCCCTGTCTATGATCCGCGCGTACTGAGCTTCACCGCTAATCTAGATCAATATCAAGAGGACATAATCTAGCAAGATGATCTCGCAAATATTGACAAACAAATTCATAATTTGCCATAAAAGGCTTAATCTTAGTAGCCCACAATTCTAAAGTACCCCATACCAATTTCAATCTAGCTTGAAGTTCCCAAAGGTTAAGTTTTGCGCAATTTAATTTAAAAATATCTTCTTATGGATACGACTCTGCAGTGCTTCGCGTAGAGAAAACCCATAAAATACTAACATTTAGACGGGTTCTATTATTTTCATTAAAGATCCTTCGTATAGATTATTGTGTCATTCGTCGAAGTTTCATTCCTCTACAGTTGCCCCGTTATAGCTTGCTCCGTAGCGCTCATGTTGTCTGGCGGTTCGTCATTACTATGTTCAACAGGTGGTTGCTGTATAAACGAGGCTCTCTTTTCTCTAGGTTGCGCCTTTGGCCACCTGGTTGAGGCCTGAGGCCTGGGATCCAGCTAGGCTAATCAGGGCCGTCACCCAGCCTTAGTTATCGACAACGTGGGCACAGACAAGCCTGCAGCGTTGATAGATTTTTGCACCCGGCTGATTAATACTAGCTTCCTACATCGTCTTGATAGCAACTGCTCATATGAACTTCAGGCGTCCCATTGAGTCCCGACGATCCACCCTTCAGTTGTGATTCTTCTTCATTACCTGACTCTGTTGACCTTCACGAATACAGCCAGCTTACGGTTAGGCCAACTAAGGCTTCAAGGTTCCACACAGGGGTCGTTTCTATTAGTAGTTTGTTAAACTACGCAGCGGAGAAGGCTGAATCATATGAAGGCGCACACTTTTAACGGACTTCCTCTAGGGCAATTGCGGGTTCCGCCATCACCGTAAATTTTGCCGCCGACGCATCCAGCTTAGCCACTGCTGCTCCTATCGTTTATCATAGCGGTGCTATACGCTCATTAAGCGTACCGTGGCGTGGTGCCTGGTAACAGACTAGACGAGTGGGTTGTATACGGAGGAAAGGACCTCTGTGTAACTAGCGGCCATCGTTACGCGCATTGCAACAGTGCGTTGGGCTGGAGAAAGTAAAGTGGAGTATCAACAGTTCACGCTGTTGCTACTGCTGATGCTGCCGCAACCGCTATTTTTTAAGCGAATGACTGGCTGGCATTGTACAAGCAAGCAGGCTAGTAAGTAGTCCAATGTGTTTTTTTTATTTTTCGTATTTTTTTCAAAAAACTGGATGGGCTGAATCTTAATTTCTCCATGGCTGGTCGGGTAAGAGTGAATGGGAAACATGAGAAAGGTAGAATATAGTACTTATATTGTTAGGTTTCATTGGTACACTCCGGATGTGCGTTTAAGATCCGATACTAGACAAAGTTTTTAAAGAACTTAGTCATACACCTTGTCTCGGAACTTTACGTACACGTTCTCATTACACTTGAAAAATGATCATAGGCAATGACGTTATAGTGTCAACCGCTCATACGCTATAACATCTGAAAATGAGGATTCGCTTGGACCGTGCTGACACACGCCCTTTACATTTAGACA